TGGTGAATAGTAATCTGCACGGAGCGCGCTGCCTTATAAAGCAAAGACCACCGCGGCGTTACGGGATGACGTGTGCTATTTCTATGCAAACTACATGTATGTATGCAGGTGATGGTGCTGCGCTACACGTTTAAGGCGGCGGGATAGGCAGACGTAATGCCATGATGCAGGCTAGCATTTTGGTTACTGTTATACATACGGTGGCCCAATGCCGTTTCAAGCGTCGTCGCTCCACCTCTCTCGCTTCCGTTCGCCTCCTTTTACGTCTTCCTCGTTCTCTTCCCTTCCACCTCGTACTCATCGACGAGACTAACTCTCTTTTCGCCTTATCTCTCTTCCTCCTGCGAGGTTTCTTGAACACTATTTTACCTACCTACGTTTCGCTCCTCGTTGCATTCGAGTCTATCGCGCTCAATCTTTCTCTTTTTCTCTCCCCTTTTATCCTTCAAATCCCTTTTGCTTGCTGTCTCGCCACCGTCGATGTCAATGAAACGCGGCTGATCGAACGACACGAGAGAAGAAAAAATATTCTGTCAGATACACTCAGAACTCCTCTATTGATTTCCTAGCGAGTAAAAGACTAAGGTCCATATTTTGAATTCCGACCCGGATGTGTTTCTGATAATGGAAAAAGCAAGCGCAAACCTCTCCGGGATTGAGCCAATCTTTTTGTCCTTATTTCCTCTTTGGATATCTTGTTTGCGGAATACATGCGGGATTTTTTCGAACTGAAAATTTAATAAGACTCCGAACGACCACCTCGTGTTCTATTTTTGTTTGGGACAAAATGAATGCCAAAATCGACCAAACACTAACAAGTCGGGTTTGACTTTCTCTCTCGGGGAAAGAGAGAAAAAGGGGGAAGGGGGGGGAGAGCGAGAGAGAAACATGTGCGTGCGCGGAGTCAGCAGGCCTAAATTACACGTTCGATAAAATAAGCGCAAGAGCATACACAAAGCATGCCCGTGATCCGCTCATCCGCACGCGGACAGACCCTTTGTCCGCAGCCGAGCGGAACGTGTTTTTCAGAAACTCGCGCATTCGGGCGCCGCGCAATTGCTTCTGTCTGCGTGTATGCATCCGCGCGCGTGGCCCACTTACCCCTTTACTATGGCAGAACGCGCATCCCTTTGTTTTCTAGAGGCCTCCATTATGCTTTCAAACATGGATAACCGACTGGCAAGTCAAAATTGCTCGCAATTCTGTACAACGGGCGAGTAAAACAGAAATAAATCTATTTTCAAACTTTCCGCTTCTCGTAAATATTACTATAAAGGTATAGAGATGTTTCGCCATTCTGCTCGTTTCTGTGTCTCGTTTCTATCCATTACAATTAAGACTAATTAGAAAATTTAATAATTGAACTTTATTATTAATTTGTTGTAATGAAATATTGAATTATGATTATTTTATATTCATTAAATATTATATTAGGACGGCGAAACAAAATCTTCCTCTGCAATCGTGTCTTTCAGCAAGTAACATAAATATTCATTTGAGTAATTAGGTTAAGTACTTGAATAACTAAGTTAGAATGCTCAGTCAGAATGTCAAAGCAATCTGGCATCCGACATTCTACTGCGTCAGAAATATCTAGATTGCTTTCCACCGCAAATGTTGAACAATTCTTTTTTTTTTGTAGCTAGAAGAATTCTATTATTTCTTTTTGTAAGATATTCATTACAAGGTCCAGCACTCATCTAACCAACGAACGTTTAAATCTTCACATACATTTGCGCTGATTAATGAAAAGATTTTTACTCGGCGAGAATAGCGAAAGAGTCAGTTTTTATTCCCTCGAAGCTTTGAAGTGCTCGAAACGAAAAGTGAAGTTCTCTGCTCGACACGCGTACATGTAAACTTGGATTCCATAATTTACCTGATAATTTACCGCGGGGATTATTACATGATAGATGCGGAACACGGAGTCCGCAACAATCGTGCACTCTGCATTAGCGTAGTGTTGTAATTAATTATTTTCATTCATTATGCCGTGTACAATGATGTTTGCTAGCATTAAATTAGACAACGGAACATTACATTGGTGGAAGCTCGCAACAGCTTCGATCTGAATAACTCGTGCTGCTTCTAGTTAAATAAAGTGTTGAAACTTCGTTATCACGAAACAGACGCAAAATTCAATGCACGTGAAAGAGAGTAGCTGACGTGATATGCAGAATAACGTGGAAGCTGCAAACAAACGCTATACGTTTAGAATGGGGTTAACGCTGGAATGTTGACCGTATGTATTCGTATGAAATGTATACAAAAGAAGAAGCAATTTCGGATTTTATATCATTGACAATACTGTGAAATTTTTCTCGAGAGTTATCTCCGATTAAATAACATTGAACAATCAATGAAATCGATTACCGCTTGTTTTCCCCTAGTCAGAGCTTTGTGCGGAGATTAAATTGCCCGGTCATTGCGCATGTCGAGTCATTTCTCTTTCCGAGCGGTTAAAAGACTTTGGAATTTAGCGCCCATCGAATTCTTGTATTTCAGTTTCATCTCGATGCTTTGATGAATACGAGTAGCGGCCAAACACGCTCGCTACTTTCAGGCTTTCAAACTCGATTTTACCGCCGCACCTATGTGCACAAGATAGAGTCGGGATGCGAGGCGTTTAGAATGCCGAACTTTTCCACGACCGAATCGAATCTCCGATGAAAGGAAGGCCCTCTTGAAGGAGATACGTGTGGATGCTTTCTTCGCGTAGATCAAGCGAGCTAAACTTCTCTCGCGCAATATTCCTACTTTTGCGAATTAAAAATATTTGTCAGGTATTATATTATACGCGCATTTTATTTCGCGTACCTCTCTGAATATATTTAACAAACCAGCGATTTTATTGCCCGTTCGTCACATGATGATAATTTACACGTAAACAACAATAATAATGAACGTAAGATACAGAGAGATATCTCTCTTTATTTTTGTTATATATTTAATAGTGAAATAACTGTCAATTTATCTGCATTAATTCATCTTATTAAACAAAGAGAATCGCATCATTTGATAATTGCATTTGATCATTTCACATTGATAATTTCTTCCGTTTGTAGACATATTACTTCCTTGGGTCATATAATTTTAGTAGTCTGACTAATAATTCATTCAGACAGCTAGATTTCCTGCGGAATGGTTATCGAAAATGTCGATATTTGAATAAATCAGTCAATTTGGTGCATCATTAAATATGTAATTTCTTCAAATTTTAATGTTTTTTTTTTATTTTTTTATTTTTAAAAATTAAATTTTTTACTTTTGCAAACTAAATATAATTTGATTGAGTTTGTCGAATTTTAATATTTGATATTTAAATAATGATAAAATATGAATTATAATGATAAAATGGAATGCATGATGATATATATGATGTGTTGTTCGAACATGTACATTAAAAACGTAATAATTGTTCTGTTTTTTGTGATAAAAAGTTTTTTGATAAAAAAAACAACTGTACACACAAAGATGGATATACATTTTATCGCGATAAAATTTCAGAGTTTTCTCTTTTTGGAGAAAACTTGACTCGTAAACTTTTTTACACAAAGCCGCGACTGTTGAAAGACTCGGTTCGTAGTAATTCCGAAGGCGACGTGATTCGTATAAAGTTTCCTAAGTGCGACACGGACAGTTGCGTTTTCGAGAGCGCATCGTGAATGCGCCCCGCCACGCGCACCTTTTTTTTCGCAAACGGCGTAAAAGACATGTACGTCCGTTACGAATCCATGGATTATTCAAATGAGGTCAGGACGAGGAGCAAGCGCATTCAAGCTCGCCACGCCAGCAGCGCAGTCTCCTTGAATCGTAATCTGCCGTCGAGGGCAAACATCCTAAATCACCTGCGCCGCGCCCGGAAATAGGTCGTATCCGTGAAAATTTTAACAAAGTGCGCACACGTCAAGGAAAAAATTCTTTCGCGTCTTTCGCTCTTTCAGCTGCATCGCAATATCTGGAATTTTATCCGCTGAAACGGACGCATGACAGCGCGTGCGTTCAAATTATTCGAACGATGCAGAAAATTGCAGTGAGTAAAGCGTTATCACTTTTTTTCATGTCCGGAATATCTGCTGACCTTTGCCAAGATTGAATAAACCACACTGCAGCTTTTCCTTTTCAAAATAAGAGCAAAACTCAAAAAGCGATCTTCGTCTGCAGTACAAATATAGCTCGTATAAAAACAAGACCGTATGCTATTATTAACCTTTTTAGACCACATTACCCTTTTACCTTTTTCGACGCCGGGATCCCATTTTATCTCAGTAATTTTTAATTCACACTACAACCACTTTTTCTATAAATTTTGCGAATCTATATAGCATATGTAGATTGAGTTTCAACTTTTATTCATTCATCGCAGTTTTTATCTGCAACAAATTGATAAGTGAATTAATATAAATATGTGTAGCAAAGCAGTTGTAATGCAGAGAATTTTATATCAGTGGAAAAAGATGCGAGCCGGTAGGAATTAAATCCAAGATGTGATCAATACGAATCTATGATATTAATATTCTTTCACAATCTTTATTGGTATATAGATTCCCCATAAGAGCCCGTACACAATATTCAGTAATGCTGTGAAAGATCATTACAATGTGCAAACTGCTCTATAACTCTTACAGCACATTTCCCCAGTGATTTACATCGAAAGAAATGAGTGGTGCGCGCGCGAGACTCCCCCCAGAATGCCTTAAAAAATTTAATAACAAGGTAATCCAGAAGGGTCCGAGCGCGGAAAGTAGTTTCTAATTCACGAGGGTCGGGGTGAAACAAGCGGAGTTCAGACTCGTTCCGCGTTTGTTTTCTCTCGGTGCTTTCCGCCGTACCTTTATAACTTCTATTTTTCTTTGCCTTGATAAAAAAGTTTGCTGCCGGTAGCCAGGCCGGCGATAGCCTCGCCGGTAATTGCGGCGTCGTTTGTAGAGTTCCCTCCAAGACAATCGACTTAATTAAATTATCGTAATTATACCCGCTGGTCATGTTTCTTTCTTCAGATCGACGCGTACCCTACAACATACCATCGGACTGGAGGGCCCTCTGGTTCAGCAATCTCGACGAGCTACAAAGAGTAAGCGAAGCGAACGACAACAACACCGTTTCCAATGTCACGGTGCAATTGGGTGGCACCGCCTTCCTCCACTGCAAAGTTCGCAATTTGGCGGACAGGACCGTTTCCGATGCTGAGGTAAGAGAAATGCAACTTTTCACGTCGTCGCGAGAAATCGTTAAAAGAAGCGACGAAATCGCGATTGGAATTTTCAAGTACGACAAATTGACAATTTTCTCCCGAATAATTGTTTCGTCTTTTTCGATGGGTGCGGCTGTGCTCTTTCAAGTCTTTTTTATCGCACATTTCATATGCCTCATAAAGGGAAAATGTGACGTGAAATTTATGTTTGCGTGTGGCAGTACTGTGACAGTTACGAGCTAATATAACTCGCGATGATGTTTCATACATTCTAAAGTAGAATAAAATTCATTTAGAATAATTGCATTTATGCGAATTTTCACTTATATGATTAACTTATTAGCAAGCATATATTGCGATCACTTATTCGATTCTTAAAGCGTCAAGTCTAGATGTATCGAATATAACATTTGAAAATATAACAGTAGAGTGTAGATGAAACAATTCGGCACATATATTATAATCATTATTATAATAGATTTTTAAATTCTTGCTAGAATATTTCTCGATGAATATTCGTCTAATAATGCTGAGCACCACAAGGCACACTCTCTCGTTTTGAAGATACAACCCTTTATTGAATATCATTCACGTAGGGATAACGCATGCATATGAGAGACTATGCTAATGCCTACGCAACAGCGACACGAACATGGTACATGGTTAATCTTGTCCGTGTAGCCATGGAACAACTCTACAAATTTATTCATGTGCACGAGCGTAATGGCCTCCTTTCGCACATCCACTATAACGCGCTCGGTAAGACGATCGATGATCGTGATGCATCTATTGAACTCTGGTGAGAGAGTAGCAATCGGTATGCGATCCCACGGAAACGAGCTCGTATTGGATACAGATGGATGCAATAATGACGCCCGTCCATGTCCTCGTCACATCTTCGACTTTTCCCAGAAACTAGAAACGTTGATTTTATCCTTCATCATCTCTGTTTCGATCGACAATATTCTCTAACAAGCTGAGAAAGCCTGCTAAGAGCCTTTCTGTTAAGTGTCGCTATTGCATCATCTTGTATTCGATATCTCGACATCGATACGCTAAATTTGCTTATAGAAGCGTGCAAGATTGATGCCCGCAAAAAGCCGACGACCGCGACAAATCCGCTCCAATTCGGGATGGCATCCTACAGCGCCGGCGATTTGGTGCCGGAAACTTAGGAACTTTCATGTGAAAGCGGTGAACTACCAAGTTCACACAATGTCAGCCATCATAGGCTTCTTCGTCATGGTGGAATTTATAGGATCAGATTTCGCTGACCAAAAGTTTGCCATTGTTTAACGTTGTTGAACAACAATGGTGCTTTCGAACTTTCTGTTTTCAGTCTTAGTCTTGACATCAGAGACAGACTTTGATGATAGATAGATAATCGATACTTATGCGGCGCGATCAATAATCTCCACAACATTTAACTTCTTTGCGTAACTTCGTTACGCTTTACTTTATCTTTGTTATTAGAATCTATTGAGAATGCTTGACATTTTTTTACGAAGTTGACAACGTATCTGTGTTTATAATGTTTATTTGAATTCTCAATTTTCGAAATATTTACTGACGATTAAGCAACTAATTAATTTGTTCGCTATCATTTTTCCCATCATTTTAATTACGGTTTCTAAATTGTAACACAAGTGCGCTAATATCGCAAAATTTCGTGTGCTTTACAACGATTTGTTTGTATTTGTAAAATATAGGGTTCTCAAATTTAATGAACTGTAGTTGATAAGATACAAGTTCAAATAATTCAATTAAATTACTAATGAATGTTATTGAATCATTACATAATTTGATCGTTATAATTAAACTGTATTAATGAAATTAATCAAATCAATTAGCTTGCAACCTTAAGCACTTCTAATTTAATTTTAACACCTTTGAATATAAAGAAAAAAATATTTCATGATTTTGAAATTGCGAAGCATTCAAAACTTACACGTAACATGTTGTTAATAATGTAAAAATCACGTTGTGCTGATAAAATAAATATTAATTATTGATGTTATTTCACAGAATTTATTTTTAATCTTGCAAGCACTTATTAAATTTTTCACGAAAATAATTAACAAAATTAAAATCGCATTTTACGCATATTCGTAAAATAAAAATTTTAATAATTTGAAGTATAAAATGCTCATTCAGTTATTATTATATTTAATTTTTATAAATATAATATATTGTGTACTAATATTATATTAATATATACCAATGTAATGTGACAAAACGATACTTAAAACAGAACAAAACAAACTGAACAAACTAAAAATTTGTCCAAAATATTTTCTGTAATCTTATTATTACATATTCTTACTATTACATATATACAACTGCATTAATTATTAGAAAGATTATAGATAAAAATATATGCATATGTCGCAATGAGGAAACTTTATGTACATATTCGAGATTCTGCGAGCAATCTTTTTCACATTGATGGTGCATTAATAAACTATTTAAAATATATTTTACATAAACATATGGAATGAGCGCATTATATGCGATAACAGCCTCCAGGCACAAATGGTGATAAAAAAGTCAACACCTGATTTCCGGGCAACATATTATCCTCGAGAGAACTGGTTATGCCGGAACTCGTGAAAAATAATTTCCTATGCCGAGGCTATCGTGAATCAGCGTTAATCGCAAATTCTGGCAGCCGGGTGATCCGCAAATTCACTTACGACGTCGTTGCTTTTAATTCAATTATTTATGACGAATTCGACGGGTCGGCAGGCCGGCACATATCTGCCTGACCCGGCGCGCAGCGTAACTGCATTATCGCGTTAGCAGTCAAACCAGGAAAGATTGATGGCGACGAAAAGTCGAACGCCGCGAAGTAATTTTGATAGAGCGATCGGCCGAGTGTTGACGCTCTCCGTGAAGCCGCGCATCTGTGTCGTCCGAGGAAATTTTTTCCTGCTCGTAAGTAACGTGAGCGCAATGGTAACGATACGCGAAACCGCGTCGTGAGCGGAGATGCCGCGAGATAAATGCGAAAGTTGATTATCAACGTCTAGTTGTTGATTTCTCATTGGAAAGAGAGCCTCACTTCTCTCTCTCTCTCTCTCTTTTCTCTTTCTCTCTCTTTCTCTCTCTCTCCCTCTCTTCCTCACGGCGACGGTATCGATTCGCGCAGCATCGCCAGAGAGCGATATTAATGAATTACCCCTCGAAACTCCGATAATTAACGCGGCGCACTTTATTGAATCGGGAAAGCCATTTCATGCCGAGATAAAACCTGAATTGGGAAGAAAACTAGATAAGTTCACGAGACACGCATATTTTGAAAGCAATATTTCGAACTACCACAGTAAGCGGTTGAAATAACTGTGATACATATTTGATTTATTCACCTGCAGTCATTTTAATTATTAATTTCTAAACATAGAGTACGAGTGTATTTACGTTTGAATGAAATTGATACTTACATTATTTTTTAATGAAATTTTTTCAAAATAGCTTTAAAACGAATCTACTGAGATAGTTAATCTACATAGATAGTTAAAAGTGCAATGTGTTAAAAAAAAACTTATTTAAAAGAATATAAAGACGAATATAAAACAACACGTCAATTAAATAGGATGAAAATTAAAAATACTAAAAGATACCACAGATGTTGTGCTAAATTATTTTGCGAAAAATATATACGAATATTTAAATACTTAATGATTAACACAGGTTATGTTTGTATCATTTGAAAATATGTACAGAGAAGTATTTTTATCTGTATATTTTTTATACTTTGTTGGAGATTTTTTAGAGTCATAAGCGTAATTCTTTATATTTCTATCATGACTTGTCCGTAATGTGCGATGCGACTATATAAGGACGGTATGAAATATGTGCTTTTGTAAACTAGCGTAATTAGTATGAAATGTGGCTTAACATTAAACGCAGGTGCGGGGAGAAGGAAGCTCAACGGGATATCTGACTCGGCGTCTTTGAGGGACAAGGATCCTTTGTCTTGACGACCGTCGCGGTTGAATTGAAGCCATGGATTTGGTCGTCGTAATGGTCCACTTCCGTCTTCGGACATTAATTTCGAGCGCGCGCTTGTGCACGTCGTTCGATAAATCGATAACCACAATAAGAGGGATCTCCTGAAAGATTAATGCCTTAATGATATATCCTGCTCTGTTAGACGAGCAACATTTTCTCAAGGCTTTTCTTTGTCAATAGCTGCGCTATACATGTCTTTTTACTTTATGTATTTTTTCTCTTCGGGGAGGGGCAGTGGAGAGACGAGAAGACGTTTAATTAACGTTATCTACACCGGATACGGCCTTTGCGTCATAATAATATTTCACGATTAACCCGATCAGGTTGCATGCAGTCAACGATATATTACAGCATTAAAAATCGCATTCCGGATATCGATGCGTTCATAAAGTTCGACCATTGGCCGTTCCTTAAATCATGTGACGTGATTTTAGACGACAGGCTCGCGTAAGTTATTTACCTTGGCAACCAGCGAAAGGGTGAACGAACAAAATATATGGCGCATGGTGATTTATGCGAGAGACTGCATGAGAAAATCGTAGCAGCTATTAGAATGGCAGCTGTCGAAGTATAATCGAGTGACGACTATTCAGTGGCATATCTGAGTCAGAATATCGCAGATTCCAATAAATCATCGATTCGAAAACACAGAATTATATAGACGTCTCAGAACTGAGAGACTCAATGCAATGCCTGTGATAGTTAGAAAGAAGGAAATCTTGCATATTCAGGTATGCGGGACATTTCTCTTGCTATCTGCAAATTGCGAAACTGGCATCGATTTCGAGGTACTGATTTGTAGTCTCCCGGGGAAACATTTCTCATTACAATTGTATGCGGAAAGCAGCATAGATGCGATCATTTATTGAGCCGAAACTGCACGCCCCGACCTCAGAATCCTCGACGATGGACTCGTGCCGACCACTCATCTTGGCAACGAGCATCGGTGGCCGGAGTCGGCCGACAGATTTGGGTTATCCGACAGG